TAAAGAAGCATCTTCACAGGAACCTCGCTATAAAGATCTTTTACTGTCCTCACCCCGTTAGCATTTGCTTCTCCAGGAGCGTATCACCTGCAATGCCCAGGATGGCTGCTGACCCAGTGAGCCCTAACAGAACTCAAGTGCAGTTAGTACAGTACCTGGTAGGATCGATGGACTGCAGAAACACAACATGATATTGACCGACAGCTCTCAAACACGGCAAAGGAGCTGTCCAGCCTGCGCGCATACTCAGTTAGAAAAAGAAAAGGGAAAAGCAAAGTTGAGAAGGTATGAGAGATGAAGGGAGAAAAGTCCTTAGAGGCAAGGGTAGTGTAGACAATCATGCTGCTTTAATCAGCACATATTAGGAACCTCAAGTTTTACCTCCTTGTGTCTAACCACAAAGCATTTACATCCCATCTACTACCCAACTTACAGACCAGAAGACTGTCCTTTGGCTAGTCCTCTGGATTAAACAGAAGCTATGGAAAGCCAAAGTTCTACTGGAAGACAATCAAAACAAGAAAAACAGGAAAAATCCATTTCAGCATGCCTCTGTAGGTCCTATGTGCTCGCTGTGTCCCTGACTAGAGAACAATCCTGGACTCCACCTCTCCTGGGTCACTTAATGGGGGTCCATTTGTGAGGACTCACATTACTTCAAGATTCAGAAATGTTTGAAGTGTTTTTCATCAGTTAGAGAACTGTCTTTCCTGTAAGTACAAAACCATCACCTACACCTTGAGGCCAACTCCTGAGTACAGACTGACTCCCAAGGTATACCAATACATCCTCTGCTGTACCCACCGATGCTTCCATTCAATGTGACCCACTGTTTCCCTCCTCCAGTCCCCAGCCTCTGCCTCTTCATCAACCTGCAGCCTAAAAGAACAACAACCATGGGCCAAACTCTACAGTGGGTGCTACAGAAGTAACTGAAGAAACTCAGTGCATGACTTTTGCCTACCCTCAGGCAGCTCACAATCTTGTTTGTAGTGCCAGGACACCTCAGCCCCTGATTTCGCAAGGAACCATTGATTACCTACAGGGCACAGCAACACAAGGGATATTAGCATTCACAGGAAGGGGCAAGCCGCAAGGACTGTCACATTTATGCCTAACTTCATTGGGTCTGCCTGACAAGAATTTTCTCTTTCCTTCTAGATCACTCATTCATATTTTTCCTTTAGGTTTACTCAAAAAAAAAAAAAAAATTTCTGTCCTTTTGGTTTCATTTCTCATAGTCTTCCCTACACAAATCATCTTTTTCCTGCAAGGCCAGGAAACTACTCCTTCACTCTTGGAAGCAACTCTTTCCTTTTGCGGAAAATGATTCTTTGGCCACTTAAAACTACAACAAACCACTCACGTCGTCTCACTGGGGAACTATTTCTAACCTCTATAATAGGCAGGCCTGCTGAAAGGCACACGAGAAAGCTTTCTCTTCCCCTCTGTGTCTGTGCCTCCCTTGTTCTACTGCCTCAGTGAGCAGAGACAACATCTAATTATATTTTCCACCAAAACATTAACATGTTATTAATGCTTAGCAAGTAAGAAAAATAATAATATCTTTATATGTCCCATTTTTTCCACTTCGGGATTTCATATGCAAAAAAGAGATTTTAAGACTGGAGCATGGCAGAGTTTGGTCCATTAGACATATATTAGGTTTTTCTGTCCTCCTATACAAAGGTTGAGGCTTTTAAATGGAGCATGCAACTCTTAAGCATTAACCCATCTGTTCTGTTTCTCTCTTTTACTTCAAAGGACTGGCACACAAATCTCACAGCCAAAGTCATACGAAGGCTATTCTTTTCCCAGCAATACACCTTGACCGCCACCAATGGACTGTCACTCAGAAACGCTCAATTATCCTGTTACGTTCCCAAATGCCACACAAGAGTACAAAGTCCCCTTTCCTTTTCATTCTGACCCCCCACTACGTCTATCATACTACTGTGTACACCTCCTCTCCCTGACACAGAGCCTCCCTCCTACCAACCCAGCTCCTGCAATGCTCCTTGGAGATACCAAGACTTCTCGTTCCAGCAACCCTAAACTTAACCCATCCACCAAGGTCTAGATAATTCGTGACATTCCCAACAAAGCTTCCCGGACCATAATAGCTCTTGGTGGTGGGCTCACTCTTTAGAATTGGGAAGGAAAAGATCTAAAAAGTTAACAGCATGATGTAACACATATCAGAAAGTCAAAGGGGCAGAAGAATTAACACAGTTTAGATCACATAGGATCAGCTGCTCCATAGGAACAGGCAGCAGAACTCTGTAGATCATGTTCTCATATCACACACATGTTCACAACACGCTGAACTACCCACGGCTTTTCCTCCCAAGAAGTTTATGAGTTTCGGGGCGGGGCGGGGGGGGAAGCAAAGACTATTTCTCACACAGCTTCAGAATCCCCTGTAATAACTAACATTAATAGGGCAGGACCTGCGGAAAGTACACAGCGGATTCTTTTTGATTCGCCCCGTAGGGAAGCTGGGAATATTTGCTAGTTGAGTAAAATCAAGTTAAAGCAATACATCAGTGATAAAGCATTGAGACGCAGCGTGACAACATTTTAGATGAATTGAGGGGGATTTCATACCCACAGAGACCCACTCTTCATGTGATTTTCAGCAGAGATTGTGTAGTGGAAGGAGGGGGCAAATAATTAGGATTAGATTATCCGTTCTCAAATGGCCTTCAAAATCGTTTAATGGAAGCCAACCTCTTAGAGATGAAGAAGTGACTGGGGAAGCCTTCTGACTGAAGCCAGAAGACCAGAGATCTCAGGAGGCATGAACCCTGTTCACATCCCCAACTGCTTTGCAGAAACAGCGCACGTGCTGTTTGTCTCTGAAAGAAGTGCCCCACCTCGGCCTGGAAGCAGAGAGGGAAACAGCATTCAGAGACCCATCCAGGCTTAATGGCAATGCATGTAACATTGTTTTGATGATGTGTAACACTGTTAATTGCAGATCTATTGTAACTGCTTTCTTTTCTCTACCTTCACTATGCTACAGGCAACAAATAGTAACACATCGTCTAAACAATTAAACTGTGCCACAGAAAGGATGCAGACTGGTAACAGGGAAACTTGAGTTCAGAAAACTAAACTGGTTTTTTTTTTTTAAGATTTTATTTATTTATTTATTTGACAGAGAGAGATCACAAGTAGGCAGAGAGGAAGGCAGAGAGAGAGGAAGGGAAGCAGGCTCCCTGCTGAGCAGAGAGCCCGATGCAGGACTCGATCCCAGGACCCTGAGATCATGACCTGAGCTGAAGGCAGCGGCTTAACCCACTGAGCCACCCAGGCACCCCAGATAACTAAACTGTTAATGGAACAGCTAAGATCTTTCTCTTTAAAAAAAATTTTTTTTCAATTTTCTGACATGACTTTTCTAGCTCAGGTAACAATAAAGCAATGCTGGTCTGCGCCCCCAGGATAGTTTTGTAAACAGATGCTAAGGGCATATGTGGGAGTTACAGGCACTGTTCTAGGAATTATGGAAGATCAAATGAATAAAACTCTGTTTCTGTCCTCAAGAATCTAAGGAGATGATTAAAAATGAACATAAAAAGTCTAATAAAGAGAGAACATAAAAGGCTAATAGGAAGCTGTGGAATGTGGGGGCAGGAACGAATTCCCTGATTTTTTTTAACTGAGGAAATCATACTAATAAAACCACGTGTGTTTACAAAGCAACATACACAGAAATTAGAAAGTTCTTAACTTCAGAAGATGGATGTCTTCCATTCGAGATCATTCTTTTGAGTTCTCATTTACTTCTAACACTTGATTGCCTACTGACAAAAGAATACGCTAACATTTTTCACAGGTTGTGATCTTTAAAAGTTTTCTCAGGAGAGCAAGTTTTATTTGTCCTCATCAGAATATTGCTGCACTGGAGTTAATAATGAAAAGCAACGTAACTGTGTGTGTTACGGCACACTCTGTAACTTCCAAAGCATCTTCACAAATGGTATTTCAATGGGTCTTGTCTGGTCCCCACAAAATCCTGAGAAATACACAGGGTCAGTTTATTGTGTTTCTGGGTGTGTACGTGTGCATGTTAATATTGTTTTCTTCATTGTGCACAGAAGAAACTGGAGGCTCAGAGGAGTATGAGTGACAGTGACAACTGGCATTTGTCATACTTGTCAGACAAAAATAAAATTGCTGGCTAAGCCCTCCAATCTAAAATTACTCACAAGTTATTACACTTGAAAACTCATGTTCCCACTGGTGTATGTTCTCTCGAAAAGCAAATATGCCCTGGGCAGCACTCAGCGTCTAGGGGCCCCCCACCACCTTCCCGCTGTCTCCAGGGGCAGCACCTTTTTCCCTCCCCAGACGTTAGCCAACCTCTCTTCTCTTATTCTCTGTTCTCAATAGAAGACTGAAAGGTGGCCATTTATGTGTTCATCCATCCTAAAGAGCCAGAGCCACTGAATTAGGTCCTTTAAGAGCATTTGGATTTTAAAACTTTGTTATAGCTTTACAGAGGAAGTCTTTAGGCTGATAAACACGTTTAGGGAAGTAGCCATCATGTGTCAGGAATTTGGTGCTGATTCACGGATGCTGTCATCTCTCCGGACAATGATTAACAAAAAGCCTCTGAGCTTATCTTCAGGGTCAAAGAAGGAAAGGGAAGCTGGCACTAATGTGTCCTGCCCCATGTCCCTGAAAGGAACATCAGGGATGAACAATGACAGATTTAACGAGAAAAAAAAAGCCCACTGAGTCTTCAGGGGCTAAGGTACAAAAAAAAAAAGAATCTGGGAAGCAGCCAGAGCTGGGACTGATGTACCTAAGCCCCAATCCCAACCCTACTCATGCACGTTTGCCCCAGCCTGATCTCAGACTGTAAAGTCTCAAGCCCTGTGGCTCTTAAAACCTGCCCCGAGACCCAGAGGAGCTGTCCTCAAGTCCCACGACCACAGGCCGCGTTCCCCTTTCTTCCACTGAAAACACCGAGTGGGAAAAGGCGTCCTTACCTCGTAATGAGCCACGCGCTGGGATTCAGATATCAGCTGTGCACTGCACACCTTGCAGTAACTGTCTGTAAATAAATCCTGATCGATATCGGAGGACTTCATCAGGCTAAAGGAGAATCAACAGAAAAGAAAAATGAGTCCACTGCTTTGATGTTTATGCAGGACATTAACTGTGTGAAAAAGCCTAGAGCACAACAACAGACCCCAGGATGGTGGCAGTGGCGGAGACCTCCCTACTCCTTAGGTGATACCGTGTCAGTTAACCACAGTAAAGTGTAGAGTTTGTAATTTTCTCATAAGCGCCCAACAGAATTGCTGGTACGTACAAAACAGAAATGCACCTTTAGTTTTCTCTTTCTGACAAATCAGACGTATTTTAAAATATGTATAGGTGCACAGAAAAGCATCCCAGGAAGTTTTTAAGATTTTATTTATTTATTTGACACAGAGAGAGAGCAAGAGCAGGGGAAGTGGCAAGGAGAGGGAGAGGAAGCAGGCCCCCTGCTGAGCAGAGAGCCTGATGGGATCATGACCCAAGCAGAAGGCAGCCACTCAACCAACTGAGCCACCCAGGTGACCCCCAGGAAGTTTTTTGTTTTTGTTTTTGTTTTTTTTTAGATTTTTATTTATTTATTTGACAGAGAGAGATCACAAGCAGGCAGAGAGGAAGGCAGAGAGAGAGGAGGAAGCAGGCTCCCTGCTGAGCAGAGAGCCCGATGCGGGGCTCGATCCCAGGACCCTGAGATCATGACCTGAGCCGAAGGCAGCGGCTTAACCCACTGAGCTACCCAGGCGCCCCAGGAAGTTTTAACAAAGTGTTAATAGCAGTTATCTTTCAGAAATTATAGGTAATTGCTTATGTAATTTTATTTATTTTTTTTAATTTTCTACAATGGACATACATTACTTTTATAATACATGGAAATAAGTTAGCTTTGTCAAGAACCTTATAAGCAATAAAAATACTAGTTTTGAGTTCAGTAGCTATATTTACAGAATTAAAAAATAAAATCAGGCTCAACAATAACTTTTCTTGCAAGCTTATACCTTTTAAAGTGAGAAGCCCTCACTGTTCATGCTCACTCTTCCAGGTTTAGGGTTACTGATATGCATAAAAGCCACCTCCATCATTCTGCACCACAACTGAGCCCACAAAAGTAAATAAACATATCATCAAATTCCAAACCCTGAATTGAAATGCAGCCAGGAGTCTCCAGCTTGTGAAAGTGATCTGTCACAAAGTTATCTCATAGCATCTGAAGCATAATGTTACCACCATAGAAATGCATAGCAGCACATCCAAATGCTTTCCTCCAACCCACAAACTCCACTCCATTTTACCTCCTACCAGCCAGGTAAAAAGTAAGGGCTATGCCTGACAGCATGCATACAGAAAGGCAAGAGAATTTCAAACAGGGATGTGGTAGGAACCTTGGAGTCCATCCTGCTCCCACGCCCTCATTTTATCTGTGAGACTACTTAAAGTCACATCGCTGATTATTGGCATGGCCATATACGCCACCTGGTTTGCATGATTTCACTTTACACACTCCAAATCTGTCTCAGGTCTCATACTCCTTGCCAGTCATGTGATATTGAAATGAGCCATTAAACCTTCTAGGTCTTAGTTTCCTCCTACACAAATTGAGATAAAATATTAGCCATGCCTTTCTAGAGAACTGTGATGAAAATCAAAAGGAGAAATATAGGAGAAGATACTACATAAACTCTAAACCTCTCTTCATTTGAAAGGGCTCATCGTTACATTCTTAATAATATCCTAACATTGGCCAAGTCTTAACCAATACAACAAAATAAAGGACAGTGGTGCATTTAAAGTAATTTTTTAAACCACTTAAATAGCAGAGTTATAAAATAAAGCACCTACCTGAAATAAAAGGCTTACTACCTCAACAACTACAAACTCACTTTTTATCTTTGTCCTTGGTTGTAATGGTCCATTCAGAGCATTGGATGCTCTGCTCTGAATTTCACAATTCAAAAGGATTCACAATTTCGGCTCCTAAGAGACAATGGTAGCTCTGGTTTTTCAATGCCCTGAGTACCAACAGTAATGCCAGATAGTAAGGACTACTGACTCTCATAGCTGAAGTGGATCTGTTATTTCTGGAAAGCTGCTTCCTGGCAGAAAGCTCAGCCAGCCTTGAGTCTAACACCTGCAGTGCCTGGAGACTCACTACCTAACATGGCAACCTGTTCCAAAGAGTCTGGCAACTCTCACGGTTAGGTACTTTTCAGGTTGAATCAAAATCTGTCCCACTGTAGCTTCACTCATTCATTCTGTCTTCAGGTGCAACACAGAAAAATTCTACTCTCCTTTTTCATGAGATATCCGCTCTCAAGTGCTTGATGATAGCTCTCTTTTATCTACTCTCTACCCCTGTCCTGACTTATCATCTTGGTTCGTGTCTATTTCTTTATGGCCCATCTTCAAAGGCAGTGCCAAGAACAGAATAAACATTTCAGGTATGGTCTAATCAGGCGGAGGATCACAAATCCAAATGACCGTCCAAAACACCTACTGTCGTGTATAATGGTCTCTAGTCACATCCGAGAATGCAAATGGAGAAGAGGTGTTTTGATGATGGGAAAATGTAGTACAACATTTTGAAATGTCAAATGGGAAAAGAAAACTTACTAAGGTGTATTTTTTAAGCCAAGCTTCTATAAGTAGTTGTGTTTAAATATCACATCATGTTCCCTGCTATTTCTAATAAAGAAGTGCACAAAAATAGATTCATGGGTGACCTGGTTAATAGGAATCTCCAAACTCACTGCGCACTCCTTCCTCATTATACAACCGACTGCAGAAATCAAACACTGTGAAAGGATATTCAAGGTACGTGTCGGACCAAGTGGGGCCCGTAGGAGTCTGAGTCTCGGTAAAACAGCTGTGCAGCAGAAATAGCTTTAAAGGCAGAATATAAAAATGTGTATACTAAAAAAAAAAATTCAAAGGAAGAAGAGAATATCATGGCTTTTTCCACTGTTTTATATAAGAATACCGATTGGAATGGGCCCATATGCAGTAAAATGGCAATAAAGACCCCTCTGAAATCTACAAGGCCCAAATGGAAAACCTGAATGAGTTAAATTACAGTGGGAAGCAATTAGAAGGCAAGTGTCAGCCTGGTTTGTGCATAAGGCCTTTTCCCCAAAAGAGAACTCTCTGTGTAGGTCACTTTAGAGAGCCTGATTTATGATTCAAAGAGTGGAATTCCCCAACAAGAGGACTGTTCCCTTCTCCCACTTGCTTGGGATAGAATTCTCAGATCCTCTGGTCTTCAAAAGTACAGGTGAGCTGGTAAGAATAAGGAAAACCAGACTACCTTTCTTTAGCCTTGTCCATGGTCCTGAATCAGCAGCTAGAGCAGAGACAGAGCAGGGCCCTTAATTGGTTAGTAACTGGTCAGTCCCACTGTCTCATGGAAGCCAATATGTGGAGAACCCCAAACCTGGGGCATGTTGTCTGTACTACATTCTGAGGTCCTGGGGCATTCCAAGCAGGGAGAGAGAGCACGGGAAGGAAGGAGTTTGATTTCCTGAAGTTGAAACTGATCTGAATGAAAACTTCCTCAGTGTCCCCCACAACAGCACGTTCCAAAGCAAACACCCAAGATGTGAATAACCTATCACTCTTCAGTATTCACAGAGGACAGTGCTACCTGTATTTTACCAAAGAAGCCCAGAGGGAAGTTGGAGGCAGTATTACAACAGGAGACTGATCAGATTCTCATGTGCTGTCCCAAGTCTCTATATAGCAATAAATCTATTTACATCTGGTAGCAGTGACAGTGTTAAGACTCAGAGGTGTAGCCAGGTCTAACAAGTAAGAGAAACATGAAGGGGAAGAGCTTTTGTTTATTCAATAATGATTACTGAGCATCTACTATGTGTGAGGCATTGGGATGGCAGAGGGCACAACTTCTGTCTTCCAAATCTTTATGAGCTGCTGAGTGAGAAGAGAAACATGAACACAAATACCTAAGGCAGTGGCAGCAGGTGTAGAAAGCAATACAGGAACTGAGAAGACAAGGGGAATTGTAAGGAATTCTTCAGGGAGGTTCTACAAGAGTTAAAAATTTAAGAACAAACAGGATTAGAGTGGAGGGAAATGGGTTCAAACTCAATAGGTCCCAATTCTTTTTGCTGGCATGGAGACAAATATTACTACCAGTAGGCATGAGAAGATATATGCAAGGGGCTTCAGTGGGGCTTGTGGGGGAACATGCAACATAAGGGAAGGAGGCAGCGAAATGCAGGGAGAGAAAGGTACACAAAGCTCAGTCCCCAGATGGAAGGAGGGGAGACTGAGGGAAATCAGCAGGTCCCAAAATGTTTCTCAAGGTGCAAGGAATGGCCTTTTTTAGGATCTTTAGATGCAGACGGGAAGCCTTCCTCTCTGTGCTTTCTGCTTCTCAAGAACAGATTTTAGGAACATACCCTAAAGAGCCAGAGAAACCTGAGGCTTCATGGCCAACAGTAACATTCTTCATACCATTCCATTTCTGATAATGTCAGGATAGCTTCTGACTCAAAGATCCCAAAACCCAGGCAGGGCTCTTCAGAGGAAAAAGGCATTAGTTCAAATCCACGTTTGATTGCTTGCCGGCAAGATTTTTGAGTGTAAAGGTACATACCCTCCCTGAACCACAATTTCCTCATTTGTGAAACAGGGGAAACATTCTCACAGGCTCGTTGCGAGGATTAGAGATGATGTCAATAAAAAGTATCTAACGAAGACTGTGGCATATGGTAGACACTGAAAAATGGATATCGCCACCATTATGATGAATATTATTAATTTCGTATTATCATTATTCTTATTTTCAGGAGGGATGCTGTAAATATTTAAGTACAGAAATAAACAGAACCACATTAAAGACTAAGGAGGAAGATTACAGAGTTGATGTGTTGAAGTTATGACTTTGATTGTCATCACAGGGTTTCTCTTTTGTATTAATCATATCACCCACAAAAATGGCTCACTTCCACTGAGTTCTACAGCCAGCTGACACTCAGGCCTTATGCCCATGAGGATCCCACAATTCATAAACATTTAAGCCTATTCTTGTTGCCAGCAGG